AATAAATGTGAGATAAGCTCTTATTAGACGATATTCGAACAATAACACAACGTAAGGCTGTGTATTATTTTTACTTTATAAAGTTGTAAAATGTTGCGTTTTAATTTCTGACAGAGATATATTCTTACGACGTGATTCTAAAAACACTGAGAAAAGAGAAAAAAACATGACGATGATCTGTGAAAAGAGAAATTTGATAAGAGTCTTCGTAATAAAAAATGTAGTCTTGGTGAAAATAAATATTTTATAAACAATAACGATTCAAAACATTCGAAAAGATTTAGAAAAGGAGAAAAAAAAAACGCAAAAGAGTCAAAGAGAACGGAACCTTTAGGAATTATATACGACAGCTACTCGGAAAGAAACCTTTCGAAAACCCTAAAACTTTTAGGAATGCCTGAACCTTCGCATAAACTTAAGTATTCTTTGGAGATTTTCTTGTAGTATTGTAAAGCTCTTGAGAAATGTCGTACTATTGTATTATTATAATCCGTAAAAAACTTTAAAAAACTAAGGTTACACTTATTAAAGTGAATTTTAAAAATCGTTGAAAAATAAAAAGACAATATGTGAAAGCTTTTTTATTTTGTATACTTAAAGACTCGAGAGGTGGAAAAACTCAGCTGTGTACGATAATGACATTTGCGCGAAAAAATTTCCTTGACATTTAAACTTCTCGAGTTATTTCGGATATTGGGGATCGATCGATTCGTTGATTCAGTTCGAACTGTTTAAATCCGAGGCATCAACCATTTCGGTTTACTTTTTCGATCGATTTCGCGAGATTCGATTTTTTAAATATCCGCGAAACGTAAGAGCGCGCATTTTTTCAAGAGTTATAATTTTCTTGAAATCGTCAGATCAGTCGCTCGCTTACTTCCCGTAAGTAACGTGGGATCATAATGAAAATTCTGCGAGGCGTCTCTCTATCTCTCCGATTGTCGGAGAGCCGTGCGACGATGGAACAAAGCGAGAGAAAGACTTTACTGTTAGACGACTCTCAAGACGCGCGCGAATAGTCGTCATACAGCCGGTCGCAGCGAGCGAGCGAGTCGTGCGACCGCGCCTGGCTGTTCCGATCGCAAGCAAAGCCAAGTCATCCAGCTCTAACCTAGCTGAGCTAGGTAGCGTACGCGCTGGTCGGGCCGAAGCCCGTCAGGCTGGGTGTTGGTGAAAGGTGTGGCCGCATTAGCTACATGAGAAAAGGAGAATGCAATATTACAGCCGTGGTGTGTGCGATATTCAACTGCAATGACGATGTCGACGATCAAGAAGACTACGACGACTACGACGACGACGACGACGACGACGACGACGATGAAGAGTATAATCGCTCTCATCCTGAACGGTTTACCTCCTCTTTCGTCGACGCAACATCGTGCCGAGCGTGTGTTGCACGAGAGGAGTAAGGGGAGACACGGATGCGGAGACATCGGTCGAAAAGAACGTCCGCGTACAGGTGGTCGACAGCAGAAACGATCGGCGAGAGAGGTACCGCTTAATGGGATTCAACGACCTCCGCACGTCCGTACGTTCGGTCGGATCTAGGAGTGTCGTCCTATATCGTTGCCGATTCTCGATGTCGGAGGGGAGGGAGTACTCGCCTCGCGGGCTTTATTTACCCACGATCGATCGCGCGTTGCCAATATTTGGATCGGACGAATATTAGTCATGGAAATGAGAGTTCGCCTATTTGTCGGCGGAGACAATTCGCGATGTAATGCCTCGAATACGAGCGGGACTCGGACGCGGACTCTTAATCGCGTTACGTCCGAAAACTGACAACGATAAACACAGACACGAATAAGAACTTGATTTCATTTCGATCGGACGTTTTATCTGAGAGAAGCAAAGAGATATTTCAAGATGTGAAATGAAAAAAAAAAAAAAAAAAAAAAAAAGAGAGAAGTATATATTCCGTATTCGAATATTCTGCAAGAGAATCAACCTCGAATCTATCAGAGAGCATCGAAGGCAGGAAACCTCGATATGCCTTTCTCTGCGAATCTAATGCCGATAGATATCGCATCCGTTCCGAGCGAACGACTTCGCCGCGTTATTTTCTCGCTTTTCCCAAAGATCCGCAAGGCTCGGTCCGCCACACGTAGTAGTAGGACACGCAAGACGTCCCCTGCGTGTGGAATCGCCGGTGAATTTCCGCGCGAAAGAAAAACGTGATTTTTCACGTCACGAATTCCTGCGGGAGGAAGAAGATGCGAGCAATGGAAGACGATCTTTGCCCGTAGCGGTACCGTCCTTGCCCGATCGCCTCGGGTAACGTTGGCCCTGACGCCAATGTCGGTAACTGTTCCCGTATCCTGTCCGGACTATTCCTAGCCGCATGCCTCGCTCAAGCGAGCGAGCGAGCGAGCGAGCGAGCAAGCGGGCGAAATCGCACGCTCAAAACAGCGCGCGCTTTCGCAATTATTCCAAGCGCCGCGCTGGCAGTTTTCGCGAAACACATACGAGAGAAGAAAACGTTGAAACTGATTTATTATAAAGACGAGCTTTTATTAGAAATAAATAAGTTGTGAAATAATTTCACACGTCTCCTCTCGCGAGGAGAAAATGTTGCGAGAACTCTCCGCCGAATATATTCCTCGCCTCGCGGAGTCCGTCCGTTCGGCACGCGACGTTCGCGATTATCAAAGCGTCCCGGGGCAATAGTAGCGCGCGGAGGTTTGTGAATTTACGAGTGTCAGCCGCGGCGTTAGGCCAGCATGCGCGATATACAGAGAGAGGGTGGCATGTGAGAGAGACGGTGGCATCGGGGTCGCGGGACGCCACCGCGGTACAAAAATAAAATTCGTCTCATCCGTTGCGAAGAGAATCCGTTGATCGCGCGCGGCGCCGAGATCTCGAATCTCGATTCACGATATGTGTGAATGTCGTAGATTTCAAATACAATCTTACCAAAAACACATAAATCGACACTCGCGCGATTGTAAATGACGAATCGATAGCGAAGATATTAATCTGGCGAGTAACCGCGAGAAATATATTTTGTAAATTCGCGCGAAATAGCAAAACTCGACACACACGTTTGTTTTACGACGACGATACTAACAAGCGAATGACTGATGACAGAGGAAAAGACTGTGACAGATATCGTCTGTCAAGTTTACGCCTGCAAGTCTGCGAATACATCATAGAGAAAGAGAGAAGTTGCGAGTTTAAATAATTTCTGTTTCAGAAAAAGCGCACGGGACGATATATACCGCTAACAAATTTGTTCAGCTTTATCCCGGTGCAAAACTTTCGCGCACAAACAGGAACGTGACAATTCGTCATCAAGATCTGTAAATTCGTTCTGACAAATAACACGTGAACCTCGAGAGAGAGAGAGAAAGACAGAGGGAGAGAGAATGAGACTCAGACGGGAAACTCCGAAATTATTACACTACGTGACTGCTGAGAGTGGAAGCGATAAAAACCCAGAGTAGTCAACGAAGAGAAAGAGAGAAAAAGAGACATTAGAATTCCTGCGCAAAAAAAAAAAAAAAAAAAAAAATTCGAAACGCGATGCGACTTCGCTTCTAGTCTTCGGCGTGACGCGCAGCAGCGCGCGCTCAAGGCTATGTCGCAACGACGTGGTAGCGTCATCGATATCGCCGTCCAGCTTAGCGGTGGAAGATACGAGCCAGCAGCAGGCAACAACAGCAGCAACAGCAGCGGCGGCGGCAAGCAGCAGCGGTAAATGCGACGTGGACGGTGTAGACGACGACGAGGACCGGCTCCGCCGCTGTGTTACTGTTATTTTTAACCCGACGCCGACGCGCCGAGTCCGTAGTCTAAAACCGCGTCGTCCATCCGCCCCGCACGCCACCTCGTCCTCATCTCGCGATCCTCCTTCTCTTCTCATCGGCTTCTTCCTCTTCTTCCTCGTCTTCTTCTCGGCCGAGAGACGACGGGAGGGTTCAACCAGGCGCGCATATTTCGGAGCCTATTTTCAAAGTGACTTTCTATTTTCAAAGTCACAGGACGCGTCGAGCGGACGAACCTCGGGAGCAACTCGAAGAGATGACGCCGAGAGAGCTTGGAAAGCGAGAGACTGTGTATCACAATCGTACTAGAACTTTGCGAATTTCGCTTGCGCGAATTCCACCAAACTGTTTCGTGTGTTTATTTTCAAAAGCATGGTGGTTCTTATGTCTCTCTTGAAGAGAAAAGAGAAAACGAAATATCTTCTTGCTGTAGCGCGGCGCGCGAGTTTTTTGTTTTAATATCGTTATTTATAAGACAAAAGAACACCTCACTGTGCGCGAGTAACGCGCGAGGAAAAATAAAATTCGATTAAAAAATATCTGTGATACCGATGTAGTAGAAATTCGATCGAGAGGTATCAGACAAAGCGAACAGAGAGTTTTAACACGTTAGGGAAGAGAATAATGTAAAATATAAAATATGTATCTGTATATTAACGCAATTCTCTTTGTTCATCTTGTATTAATTCACCCGACCATTATGTCCTTTTAATTAATTCGTCAAATCGCGCTACGATCTGCTCGAATAGTGCCCATGGTCAGGGTTATCGCTCGCAATATCGGAGGCAAACGAGGTTAATCGCGCGGTGGATGGAGACTGCGAAGGACAGGTCCTTCCTAAATTGCACTTCGCCGAGAAACGCGGGAGAAAATGCACGTCTACGAGGTAAATTTCGCAAAAGTCTCTTAGAATCGGACTGTCTAATGTATTCTTGTTTTCTGTCATTAGCTTCCCATTTGCTTTCCGGCGCGCGGTCGGAGAGCTGCTGGCGTCACGCTTGACACAAAAGACAATATAATAGACATGGTCTCTTTTATCGAAATGCCCCAAATCTACCGTATCACATACTATCACCGCGCGATATTTTCTATTTTACCGGCAACCAAAGAAATTTGTTTAATTATATATAATATAAATTATTTTTTCATAATTATTTTTTAAATTATAAATTTTATTTAAGCTTTATCTAAACTATAAGACTACAATAAAGTTGTAATTGCAACACACTTGCTTACCTTTAGGCCCAAAACATCTTCCCTTTCATTAGTTTTATGCTGAAAAGAAAAACAAAAGATCATTAGTCTCTTTGTCGCTTTGTTTTCTAAACTTATAAATGTGTCGTTATAAAATGTTAAATTAGTGCGATCACGTAATGAAATTACGTAGCATTTTGAATTTGTAATCTATAAGTTTTGTTTGAACATGTGTGTGTGTGTACAAAGCGCGCGAGTTTTAAACTATAATAATAATAATAATTTTTTTTATAGGTAAAAAAACAACGTTTATGTAATTTCGACTGTAGCACGAGTGAATATACCATACAAGCAAGGAACGGCGTGTGCGTCGCTTTCTCCGCGAACGCGGTCACGCTATTGTTCGCGAGGCTGCGAGAAATATTTTCGAAAAATTCTAACGCAACGGAGCGCAGAATTGTATCGTCGCTCGAAGAAGACTCAATGTCGCGCCCGGCGTTGAAGTTAATGACGGTCGATAATGTGCGCCTGTAATACCGATGGCCAGGCCGCGCGAGCGGATACAAATCAGCCAGGATGAAGCGGCGAGAAATCTCGAAAGCCGTGTGTGCGTCTGTCGCGGGAAAATCCGTTTGAAGAGCCAGTTTTCCCGCCAGTCGAGTCAGCAACGTCGCGCGATGCGACGGCGAGAGACGTCGAGAGAAAGAACGAGGCAGAACTGCCAGGCAGCGAGGGGGCGAGGAGAGGACGGGGGAGGAAAAGAAACGAGCGGCAAGGAGAGACGAAGAGAGAAAAGAAGAAGAAAAAGAGAGAGAAAGATAAAGAGAACGAGAGAACACAAGAGAGAAAGAGAGAGAGAGAGAGAGAGGAGAGAGAGGGAAAAAGAGAGAGAGAGAGAGAAAGAGAGAACCTCGAAACGTGACAACGCCGCGCTAATGCGTTGTAGACTCGGTTCCGTGCTGATACCCACGCTCCGAGGCCTCGCCTCGCCTCGTCTCGCCTCGCCTCGCCTCGCCTGCCTCGGCGCAGCTCGCTTCAGCTCAGCTCAGCTCAGCTCGTCTCGTCTCGCCTCGCCTCGCCGCGCCGCGCCTCGCCTCGACGGGAAGTCGCCCGTTGCCTCGGTGTAGAACGAAATACTTCTACTGGCAGACTTTCTACTTGCAAGAAACCGGGGGGGTTGCCGTGTGGCCACGGTTTCACAGGGTGAAGATCTTCGCGACTTTGTATTATTATTCTCTCAATATACAGTTTGCAAATGGGGAGGTGCAATGTACCTCGTTATGAAATTCGAGTTTACGGAACGGTAATACATATACGCACGCACTCTCGAAAATGTGCGTGAATATACCGTTAATGTTGATTGTCCGACGATTTCGTCAGATTACGGCAATCTCATTTACAAAAACAAGAAGATTGGTCAAATTAAAATAAACGTTAACCTCTCTCTCTCTCTCTCTTCGTTCGCAGAAATGTTTTCTCCATGTTTTTGATATTTTTGTTGTTTTTTTAATACTACTCTCTCTCTCTCTCTCTCGAGAATCAAACTTCGATTCTAATTACAACCGTGAGTGAGTTTCGACGTTAGGCGAAAAAGATATGTTACACAAAATATATTATAAGCGTATAACAAGATCTTTCGTTCAATACATACGGCCGGTGTAACATGTAGCAATAGAGTATATTATGTATACGCGATGGCGCATCGTTTGGCTTCCGACCAAATATACGCTCGATCGATCGCACCTACCGATCCGTGGCGAGCTCGCCGGCCGCTCCGCTCCGCGAGAGAGCTAACGCGGACGGAACGGATACACGGGGCTTTCGAAAACGCCTGCGTTCGATCGCCGCGCGTTGTGTTTTATACGTGGGACTAGAGTACCGTGGTCGTCGTGGCAAGAGAGAGAATCGTTGTACGAGCGAGCGGGCGCGAACGCGCGCGCCGATCGAATTTTGCAGTTCTCCGGGCGGGTTTGCGCGCATGTCCGGCGCGTTATACGGCGTGCGGCGCAACGCGGCGTTTATACGTAGAAAATATTCGCGGTTGAAATTCGAAAGGAAGGTAGCTCTAGCTCTCGAGCGGTGTTTCTTCGGCCGACGACGTCGACCGGAGCAACTTTCTAGTTTAGCTGACGTACGCGCGCGCGCGCGCACGTGCGTGTGTGTGTGTGTGTATGCGTGCACGCACTTACGGAATAACGTGTGCGAGAGAGAGAGAGAGAGAGATTGTGTGTGTGCGTGTATGTGTGTAGGTGTGTATGCGGGTATACATACACACGTGAGGCATCTCACTCTCTCATTCTTTCTTTTTCTCTTCTTTACTCGCTCGCTCGCTCGCTCGTTCGCTCACTTCTCCCGTCTCATTCTCGTTTTCTCTCAGCGCCTCTCTCTTTCTCGTTCTTTCCGTCTGCCCTTCTCCGACCGTCATGTGGAGGAAAACTGGTTTCAAGAGAATAGAGCAACTGCGCCTTACCAGCAACAGCCACGAGAAACGAAAGCTCCGACACCCTCGCGCATGAGTTTAACATCGTATCCACATATGCGTATATAGATATATACATATATGTGCATACAGGCTCGCATATTTGATGGAATAGGAACATACATTAGAGAAACCTCAAGTTCGACAATGTATCAGATTTCGCGCATAATTATGTTGAGATGACGAAATTTCGGAATGTGTGATAACGTCACTGTGATAATCGATTCGAAATTGAATAAAGTTTTTCTCTAACTATTAAAGGTCCCTCTCGATTCTCGATTTTAATATTCGTATTTAACACAAGATTTTCGCAATATTAAGATTAAATATTACAAAGAGAGAGAGAGAGAGAGAGAGAGAGAGAGAGAGAGAGAGAGAGAGCACAGAACATCAATATTAAATAATTTGATCAAAATAAAGTTTGTATTAAATTCTGAAAATTAAGCCGTAATAAAGATCTATGAATCGCACACATTCCACTTTTGAAAGTTAATTTATAATTTATTGCAGATTTGCACAACTAATTCAATTCACATTTATGAGAGTTCTTTTTTTTTTTTTTCGCTAATAATATCGACAACACATTTGTTTCGAAATCACAACAACAGAAACGTTTTTAATTCAGCTTTCTCTCGCGCAATTGAAGGACGCTATTTTCTCGGTTCTCTCTTCTCGATTATTTTCCTGACTGTGTGTTGGGGTGGGAAGGGATCTACCGGGGAAGTGACTTTTCCGTGAACTGAGTTCAGACTCTTCATCTACTCGGGCGTAGCTCAAAATACCGTGCGCGAGAGAAACGTCGATGATATTCTCCGATGTGTGTGTGTGTGTGTGTGTATGTAAGCGGCGTTATGTAAAATGTGAGTTTTGTAACGCGACGCGGAGGGAGAGAACAAAGTTTTCACAATTACGACACCGAAATGGATTTAACGCGGGACAGTGGATGGGCGATGACCCTGTTTTTCCTCCCACATCCTTCGCCGTTTGTTTGCTACAAGACAAATAATTTAGTTGGAATTATCTTTCGGAAAAAAAGAGAAGATTCACAACCGCATTTCAAAAGTGATCCCTCCCATATCACGAGCAGACGGCACTCGTCGGGGATCGTTGTCGCGGGCGCGGATCGAATTAAAAAAGCACGCGTGAATGATAGTTTCGGGGATCTTTAACGCAGAGCGCGCTGCTTTATCGAGGTAGTCTCTCGTTACAGGTAGCAGGCATCTAATCTCGTAATTTCGTCTGGTCTTTTTTCCACTCCGAGGAGAGCACTCGTTTCTCTTTTACCCTCAGTCTCTATCTCGCTCGCTGCGCGCTCATTCCCTCCCTTTACAACTCCTACTTACCCGACGTCCCACGCGCGCGCATATATATATATATATATA